AAGAGTAGATGGCTGCAAGCCTGTAATCCCAGCTACTCGTGAGGCCGAGGCATGAGAATCTCCTGGACTCGGGAGGTGGTGGCTGCAGTGAGATGAGATGGCACCACTGCACTCCAGCCTGGGCAGCAGAGCGAGACTCCCTCTCAAAAAAAACAAATCATTGCCAGGCGCGGTGGCTCAAGCCTATAATCCCAGCACTTTGGGAGGCCGAGGCGGGTGGATCACGAGATCGAGACCATCCTGGTCAACAAGGTGAAACCCCGTCTCTACTAAAAGTGCAAAAAATTAGCTGGGCATGGTGGCACGTGCCTGTAATCCCAGCTACTCAGGAGGCTGAGGCAGGAGAATTGCCTGAGCCCAGGAGGCGGAGGTTGCGGTGAGCCGAGATCGCGCCATTGCACTCCAGCCTGGGTAACAAGGGCGAAACTCCGTCTCAAAAAAAAAAAAAAAAAAAAAAAAAATCATGGTGAGGATTAAGTCATGATGTAGAAAGTGCCCTGCCCCTCCCTAAAAGGCATCAAAACGAAACAGGAAACAAAAATAAGGGCAGAGAAGGACAGGAGAAGACTCAGGAGAGTTATGGCCCTCAGGCCCCCGGGCCTCACCTTCTTCACTTTGGCCTGCTCCGCCTTGGAGTCCTTCTCCGCCTTCTTGGCCAGCTTCTCCAGCTGCTTCGCTGTGAACTGAGCAGAAACCCAGTGTCCTGGGTCAGACGTGCAGAGCCCAGTCCCCAGCCCCTGCTCTGCACACCCACACCTGCACCATGCAGGTTCCTAAGCACCCATCAGCCAGCCTGGGCCTAGCACACGGCAGGGAAGGCGTGAAGCCTGCGGACAGCGAGAGATGGCAGCAGCTCAAGGAGGACGCTGCCTGCTCTGCCTCAGGCTCTGGCTGGCTTGCCTCCAGTGTCTGTCCTCTCTGTGAACACCCCACCCAAGGCCACCTCCGAGCAGAAGGGTCAGAAGCATCTCACTCTGGTCTTGACTCCTGCTTGTGGATGGCTTTTCAATGTAGAAGAAAGACTCAAGAAAACTCCTCTCAGGCTACTGCCATGTCACAACACAGAATTCCAGGTAAAAACACAGCAGAAAGTATTACCTTGAACGATGAATGCTGGGTATGCAGCGGGTTGCTGGGCAGCCCACGCAGCTTCCAGGACCTAATTGCTCTGCTGGCACCACAGGGAAACGGTCTCCAGCAACCTACCTGGAGCCACAGATGCCCTGGTCCTGGGTAGCCCTGCCTCCCATAGCACCTCAGGGCTCAGGACGCAGGCAGGCCTGTCCCCAGTGGCATCTGACAGGCCCACCGTGATGGGAGGACACCCCAAAGCTGCATCAGGAGCTCAGAACCAGCGACAAGGCAAGATAAAGCTGGCCACGGCAGAGTGGCTGGGAGCACATGCCCGGGAAATGCACAGAAGCCTGCCCTGGAAGCACCACCCACGTAGGAAGAATACTCAGAAAGCTCTCCTTCAAATGATCTCAAAGGATGAGTTCACATTTAAGTGTTAAGAAGTGCCCAGCGGAACATCCAGGGCATGATTCCCAAGTTGTCTTTCTTAAAGATAACACTTGGTCTTTCACGGGCGAGCCTAAAGATCTGCCTCCACTTGGCCTGAGACAAGAGAGCTAATATGTCACCAAGCCGGCTCGGCTCAATAATCCCCTCCTTGGTCAGCAGTCCGAGCCCTGTGTAGTGGTCACTCAACTGTTAGATAATTTGCCCGACTGTTTCTGTGGCTCTGAGTGAGTGCAGCTTAGACTCTCTGTCTTCACCAGAACAGGGCGGGATGAGCAAACTTTCAGTACATACCTTCAACTGGAACAGGGTATCTGCAAAGAAAGAGGGAATGATTTGAGGATTTGGGAAGGAGACATCACACTTCTAGCAAGCAGGACTCTTTAGGACCCTTCTAGACACCAGGACCTATGACAAACACATACACAGACACACTTGGCTGGGGTCTGCAGGGAGTCCCCAAACAGGCGAGGCAGAACACAGATGAGTGTGCCAGCCCTGGTCCCTTGCTGCCACAGAGCCAGCAAATGCAGACCCTCCCTACCTGTTTCCTTGCTGGGAATCTGAGGATGGCACCAGACAAGCTCAAAGGGTCAGGTGAGAACAGAGGAGTCACGGCCACAGTTAGAATCCACAAGACGGAGGTTTAGAATTAATGCAACTTTGCTAAGAGATTTGGGATTCTTTCCCAATTTTAAAGTTCACCTGTAATCCCAGCACTCTGGGGGGCCAAGGCCAGTGGATCACTTGAGGCCAGGGGTTTCAGGGCAGCCGGGGCCAATTTAAAAGTTGCGTACCTGATAGTCTGCTTTTTACAGACTTTTTCTCCCCAAAGGTAAATGGATACAAATAGCAATGTGCTAACTCTTAGGCATCAAAGAGCTGATTTCCACCAGGCACGGTGGCTCAAGCCTGTAATCACAGCACTTTGGGAGGCCAAGGCAGGCAAATCACTTGAGGTCTGGAGTTTGAGACCAGCCTCAGGAATACAGTCAGACCTCATCTCTATTAGAACAAAACATGTTTGGCCAGGCGTGGTGGCTCACACCTCTAATCCCAGCACTCTGGGAGGCTGAGGTGAGTGGATCACGAGGTCATCTACTAAAAATACAAAAACTCTGTCTCTACTAAAAATACAAAAATTAGCCGGGCTTGGTGGCAGGCGCCTGTAATCCCAGCTACTCTGGAGGCTGAGGCAGAGAATTGCTTGAACCCGGGAGGCGGAGGTTGCAGTGAGCCGAGATCGTACCACTGCTCTCCATCTCGCTGTCGCCCAGGCTGGAGAGCAGTGGTGCAGTCTCCGCTCACTACAACCTCCACCTCCCGGGTTCAAGCAATTCTCCTGCCTCAGCCTCTAGAGTAGCTGGGATGAAAAAAATGTTTTTTAAAAAGTAGGACTGATCTCAGTTCATTCAACTGCTAAATTTGGAGAATGACCCTAATACCTGATTCCTGAAAGGGCTTTTACCACACATTCCAGAATGCGGAAGTGGAACCTGTCAAAAGAATGAGGTGACAGAGCATTCACAAATACAAATCAAAGCTCCAAGCAGAGACCTCTGCCGTTCCAGTGAGCTCTGTGCACGGTTCAGTCTATCACCTGTGAAGGCAGGTGTTGTCAAGGCCAAGGTGATCTGTGACTCTGGGAAACAGCCAACCCGACCCAGGTGCACAATGCAGGCCAGGCGGGCCTTCCCATCCAACTCACTTCAGGGTGCTGGGGAGTGTGCCCCTCTCCACCTCAGCTTTCTCCTCTAGGCATGTGTGTGGCAGCACAAAAACCCAGTTAGGGCAAAATTTGACATAGGCTTGAGAAAAGTCCTCTCAAAATTGCTGAGTGAGCTGTAGAGGGAAAAGCCAGCTTTTTTTTTTTTTTTTTTTTTTTTGGAGACACCTCACTCTGTCACCCAGGCTGGAGTGCAGTGGCATGATCTTGGCTCACTGCAACCTCTGCCTCCTGGGTTCAAGTGATTCTCCTGCCTCAGCCTCCAGAGTAGCTGGGATTACAGGTGCCCGCCACCACACTCAGCTAATTTTTGTATTTTTAGTAGAGACAGGGTTTTACCATGTTGGCCAGGCTGGTCTCAAATTCCTGACCTCAGGTGATCCAACTACCTCAGCCTCCCAAAGTGCTGGGATTACAGGTGTGAGCCTCCGCACCCGGCGTAGCCAGCATATTTTTTGTGAGGGGTGGTAAATGCTATCTTTCATCTTCTCTCTGACGCAATTTGTAGAGAGTTTCTACACATTTCCTTCATGATGATGACACAGTGGTACTATAACTTTTCAAACTTCAAAAAGTATTTTTAAAAGCCTGCCTATCACACCCGCCCATCAACATTTCAGCAAATGTAATACTTCATTTTTTCAGGATTCTTCCTGTTCTTTGGTATCCCTGATCACAGAGCAGGCCCCAGGTGGAGGAGGTCAGGACCAGGGCATCCCACTGCCCATAGCTGCTTGCTACACACTGGCTCCTACTCAGATCTCTGTTTCCCCATCTGTAGAATGGAGGCTGACAGGTCCTATGTCAAAGAGCTGCTGTGAGCAGGGCCTAGTACTTAGGGGTCAGTTTTTGTCTGAGCTCTTCTGATCTGTCGTGATGCTGTTTGGGGGCAGGGGATGCAACTGTCACTTTTTCTTGTGCCCTCTGACCCGACATTCCAGTGCCCAAAAGGCTGAACAGGCATGCTGCCACTTCCCTGTACCGAGCTGGTGGGGAAGGGCACCTGATGCTGAGGAGTGCCAGGGGCCAGGGGAAGGGGAGCAGTCGACAGGGGTAAGGGTCTTGGGTCGGTTGTCAGGGGTCGAGGTCCGGGGGAAGGGGTTCCGGATTGGAGGTCGAGGACCAGGGAAGGGGTCCTGGGTCAGGGATCGGGAGTGGAGACCTGGGGGAAGGGTTCCAGAGCGGTGGTCGGGGGCGTGGCCCGGGAGAATGGGTCTAGGTCGGGGATGGGCGATCAAGGCCCGGAAGAAGGGGTCCCGGGGCGGTAGTCGAGGCTCCAGGATAGGGGTCCCGGGTAGGGGATCGATGGTAGAGGCCCAGGAGAAGAGGTCCCGGGGCGGTGGTCGAGGCCCCGGGGAAAGGGCCCCAGGTTGGGGATCGAGGGTCGAGGCCCGGGAGCCCTCCCGAGCCCCGCCCGCGGCCCCAGGTGGGCGGAGCCCGCGCCAGTCGGAGAACCGGCCCCGCCCCGCGCGCGATTCCCCGGAGGGCGGCCGCGACCTCTCACCGTCCATGACCACAATGATAAGAGCAACACTCGGAGAGGGGGAGGGGACGCGAACTCCGGGTGGCGTCGGGTCCCGGCGGCGATCGAACCGACCAAGCTGCGCCCGGCGGGGACTTCCGGGGTCACCGCCCCGCTTCCGGTCGTACGGGCTTCTCTCGCGAGAGGAGGCGGGCGGGTCCCGCGGGAGGGGCCGGGCAGGGCTACGCTGCGCGCGGTTGCCATGGTGATGCGCGCCGCGGACGCCAGGGCCCTCTGTGAGTCGCCCAGCGCTGCGGAGCCGCTGAGGTGCGGGGATCCGGGCCTGCGCCCGCGGGGACGGTGAGCTCGCTTATGGGCCTTTCCAAAAGCAAAGAGAAACCCCGGAAAGGTAAAGGGGGCGCCGGCGCTGGGCTCTCCGCCTCTCCGCCCCTCGGCGCGGCCCAGGGCGGGGCTGGGCGGGGCGGCGCGAGCGCGGACGCTTCCTGACCCGAGTCCGCCGACGACGGCGCATTTAGTATTTTCCCCCCCGAGGCGGTGACGGGAACGGAGTGACTCGAGACTTTGAAGCTTGTTCTGGACCCAGGCGGGCGCCGGAAGACGACGGGCCCCGCCGTCCTGGATTCCGTAAGTCCCGGCTCTGACGGGTGGTCCGTGCGTTTCAGGTGAGGAGCAGAAGATGGCGCCGCCCAGCTGTCCCGCTCCCCAGGCGGCGGAGCGGGGGATGGAGACGCCGGCCCCGGAACCCAGGCAGGCAGAGCGGGGGTCGGAGCGGCCTGCGGACGGCCTGCACCCGGGGCCCGGGACCGCCCGGCACCCGCCGCGCGCGGCTGTGCCGGCAGGTAGGACGCGCCGGGAGGGAGCGGAGCGCGGTCGGCAGCTCCCGAGACCCTGCCAGGTGGACGCGGGCAGCAGGCTCGGGCTCCGAAGCTGCAGCTGGTGTGATTTAGGGGCTGTATGTGGGGGGATACCCAGCGTCCGTGGTTTGTGAATACGGGGTGCTGGAGGGCTGCAGCAGTGTCCGCGCACTGGAGCAGAGCGTGGGAAGCCGTCCCAGCCCGGAGCGGGGCGCTCGGAGCGCGCTGGCGCGAGCACGCTCTACAGGGTGACCGAGCACGTGGACCCCGCGCGACAGCCGGCTGCGACCAGGCCTCTGGTGTGCGGGTGAAGGTGACGAAACTAGAATACAGAGCTTCCCGTTAGTTTTGCCACATGGGTTGTGGAGCTCGAACTGTGAAATATTTTGAAGAACAGAGGGTTGCCGGGTGTGGTGGCTCAGGCCTGTAATCCCAGCACTTTGGGAGGCTGAGGCGGGCAGATCACCTGAGGTCAGGAATTCAAAACCAGCCTGACCAAGATGGTGAAATCTCTCTACTAAAAATACAAAAAAGTTAGCCAGGCATGGTGGCAGGCGCCTGTAATCTCAGCTGGGAGGCTGAGGAAGGAGAATCACTTGAACTGTGGAGGCGGAGCTTGCAGTGAGCTGAGATCACACCGTTGCACTCCAGCCTGGGCGACAGAGCGAGATACCATCTCAAAAAAAAAAAAAAAAAAAAAAAAATCAGGTGCTGCCAGGCGCGGTGGTTCACACCTGTTGTCCCAGCTACTTGTCCCGCCCTGCCAGGCGGGAGGATATTTTGAGCCCAGGAGTTCAAGACCACCTTGGGCATCATGGTGAGACCTTGTCTCTGCAAAAAATGAATATATAAAAATAAAGCAAGGGTAGCATGATGGGCCCTTTGCCTACCAGTAGAGGGCAAGTTCCCAGGAGGGTGGTACCTTCAGAGGCCCCTTGCTGTGGTCTGCTGGGAACCAGCGAGGCCGTGCAGCAGGAATTCCAGAACCCGCAGAGCCTGTCTGAGGAGATTCAGGGCCTATGCCAGAAAGAGTTGTTTCCATTTCATGACAAGAGCGAAGCCCTCATGGGTCAGACAATAAAGAATGGCAGGGATGACTGGCCTGCTAGGCAGAGGATCTGAGCCTGGGCTAGTTCAGACTGGCACACTTGTGGGATCAATCGCTGGAGGGAAGAGGCTCCAGGCCTTGGACTTGGAAGAAAGGCATGTATTTGAATCCCCAGCTTCGGAACCCCTCACTGGAGGGTGGAAGTCTGCAGAAATCACATCACCCTAGGACGGCAGTTTGGAAAATGCTACCGGTCTCTCAGGGTGCTTTTAGTTGAAAGTTACAGAACAGCTAGCTAAACTGAGCTTTAACAGGGATTTAATGTGTCACAAATGAAGGGTCAGAGGCAGGGTTTCTGGGGTGCCTTGCTCATTAGCACAGTGGTGACATCAAGGGCTATGCAGGTTTCCTCTCTGCCACCCTCAGTGTCAGGGACGTCCTCCTCCACAGCCCCTGATGACTGTACATCTCCCACATGCAGGCAGGCCTGCGTCTACTCCAAGAGGCGTTGGTCTTTGCCTTATATTAGCAAGGAAACCTTTCCAGGAATGCTTTGCCTGCCTGGCCTCTCTAGGATGCACTCAACTTTGCAGGTTCACCAGGGGTTGGAGGGAGCTGTGAAGCTCAGAAACGGGCAGGACCTCTGCCAGCACCGAGTGTAGGGAAGGGCCCCAGCAGTGTCTGTCACTCCAAGGGGTGGGGAGAGGAAGGTGGACCTGAAGGGAAAACTGCAGAGCAAGAACGAGGACAGAGTTTCAGGAGGGAGGATGAAGTGTGCCCATTCTCCACATAGTGACAGGCTGAGTGAGTGAAGTGTGCGTGTTCTCCACGCAGTGACGGGCTGTGTGAGTGAAGTGTGTGTGTTCTCCCTGCAGTGACGGGCTGAGTGAGTGAAGTGTGTGTGTTCTCCACTCAGTGACGGGCTGAGTGAGTGAAGTGTGTGTGTTCTCCCTGCAGTGAAGGGCTGAGTGAGTGAAGTGTGTGTGTTCTCTGTGCAGTGACAGGTGAGTGAGTGAAGTGTGCGTGTTCTCCGTGCAGTGACGGTCTGAGTGAGTGAAGTGTGCGTGTTCTCCGTGCAGTGACGGGCTGAGTCAGTGAAGTGTTTGTTCTCCACACAGTCACGGGTTGTGTGAATGAAGTGTGCATGTTCTCCACGCAGTGACGGGCTGAGTGAGTGAAGTGTGTGTGTTCTCCACGCGGTGATGGTCTGAGTGAGTGAAATGTGCGTGTTTTCCGTGCAGTGACGTTCTGAGTGAGTGAAGTGTGTGTGTTCTCCACGCAGTGACGGTCTGAGTGAGTGAAGTGTGTGTGTTCTCCACACAGTGATGGGCTGAGTGAGTGAAGTGTGTGTGTTCTCCACGCAGTGACGATCTGAGTGAGTGAAGTGTGAGTGTTCTCCACGCAGTGACAGGCCCAGTGAGTGAAGTGTGCGTGTTCTCCGTGCAGTGACGGGCCGAGTGAGTGAAGTGTGCGTGTTCTCCGTGCAGTGACGGGCCGAGTGAGTGAAGTGTGTGTGTTCTCCACGCGGTGACGGTCTGAGTGAGTGAAATGTGCGTGTTTTCCGTGCGGTGACGTTCTGAGTGAGTGAAGTGTGTGTGTTCTCCATGCAGTGATGGTCTGAGTGAGTGAAGTGTGTGTGTTCTCCACGCAGTGATGGGCTGAGTGAGTGAAGTGTGTGTGTTCTCCACACAGTGATGGGCTGAGTGAGTGAAGTGTGTGTGTTCTCCACGCAGTGACGATCTGAGTGAGTGAAGTGTGAGTGTTCTCCACGCAGTGACGGGCCCAGTGAGTGAAGTGTGCGTGTTCTCCGTGCAGTGACGGGCCGAGTGAGTGAAGTGTGTGTGTTCTTCGTGCATTGACGGGCTGAGTGAGTGAAGTGTGTGTGCTCTCCGTGCAGTGACAGGCTGAGTGAGTGAAGTGTGAGTGTTCTCCACGCAGTGACGGGCTCAGTGAGTGAAGTGTGCGTGTTCTCCGTGCAGTGACGGGCTCAGTGAGTGAAGTGTGTGTGTTCTCCGTGCAGTGACAGGCTGAGTGAGTGAAGTATGTGTGTTCTCCATGCGGTGACAGGCTGAGTGAGTGAAGTGTACGTGTTCTCCGTGCAGTGATGGGCTCAGTGAGTGAAGTGTGCATGTTCTCCATGCAGTGACAGGCTCAGTGAGTGAAGTGTGCGTGTTCTCCGTGCAGTGACGGGCTCAGTGAGTGAAGTGCGTGTTCTCCGTGCAGTGACGGGCTGAGTGAGTGAAGTATGCATGTTCTTCGTGCAGTGATGGGCTGAGTCAGTGAAGTGTGTGTGTTCTCCACACAGTGACGGGCTGAGTCAGTGAAGTGTACGTGTTCTCCTTGCAGTGACGGGCTGTGTGAGTGAAGTGTGTGTGTTCTCCACACAGTGACGGGCTGAGTGAGTGAAGTGTGTGTGTTCACACAGTGACGGGCTGAGTGACGTGTACATGTTCAATGGCAGGCTGACTGACAGAGCAGACTACTCACTTTGTTGCCACACTGTAAAGGAGCCACCAATATGGGACACTGAGAATAGCCAGAGAAGGATGAGCCATATTGCAATTACCTTTAAATAAAATGGCCAGAAAAGGCACACTTAGTAGAGATGGGAGCTGGCCACGACCGAGCACAGGGCACTTGGGGATGATAGAAATGCTTTCAAACTGCCGGGCGCGGTGGCTCAAGCCTGTAATCCCAGCACTTTGGGAGGCTGAGGCGGGTGGATCACGAGGTCAAGAGATGGAGACCATCCTGGTCAACATGGTGAAACCCCGTCTCTACTAAAAATACAAAAAATTAGCTCGGCATGGTGGTGCATGCCTGTAATCCCAGCTACTCAGGAGGCTGAGACAGGAGAATTGCCTGAGCCCGGGAGGCGGAGGTTTCGGTGAGCCGAGATTGTGCCATTGCACTCCAGCCTGGGTAACAAGAGCGAAACTCTGTCTCAAAAAAAAAAAAAAAAAAAAAAAAAAGAAATGCTTTCAAACCTGAACCTGAACCTGGGAAGCCCTGTAGTTAGCTGTCCTGGTCCCTCAGCACTTCCAAATCAGGAGCCATACTTGTGAGTGAACAAGCCATCAGCGATTCCATGCTCTGGCTGGAATCTTGAGTCTTTACAGCTTGGGCCATGCACCTCGGGCAGCCAGCATCAGCATCCACTCCCAAGAGCCACCCTGGACATCTCAGTGAGTGTTCAGATGCCTGCAACTGCCTGGGCAACCACAGGTGAACCTGTCCCACCAAACCTGTCCTGAATGCCTAAAATCATGAGAAGAGAAAATCGTTGCTAAGGCTTAGGGTGAGTTGCTGTGAAGCAGTAGTAACCAGAACAGAGGGGCTAAGTGACGAAGATGAAGTTTGTTTTTTGTTTTTTTTTTGTTTGTTTGTTTGTTTTTGAGACGGAGTTTCGCTTTTGTTACCCAGGCTGGAGTGCAATGGCGCGATCTCGGCTCACCGCAACCTCCGCCTCCTGGGTTCAGGCAATTCTCTTGCCTCAGCCTCCTGAGTAGCTGGGATTACAGGCACGCGCCACCATGCCCAGCTAATTTTTTTTGTATTTTTAGTAGAGACGGGGTTTCACCATGTTGACCAGGATGGTCTCGATCTCTTGACCTCGTGATCCACCCGCCTCAGCCTCCCAAAGTGCTGGGATTACAGACTTGAGCCACCGCGCCCGGCCGAAGATGAAGTTTGGCTGTAAGTTAATCTTTGTGGCAGCTGTTGGGATACTGATGTGGCCTGGCTGTGTCCTCACCCAAATCTCATCTTAAATTCCCACATGTTGTGGGAGGAACGAGGTTGGAGGTGACTGAATTATGGGGGCAGGTCTTTCCTAAGCTATTCTCATGATGGTGAATGAGTCTCATGAGATGTGATGGTTTTAAAAGTGGGAGTTGGGCCAGGCACGGTGGCTCAAGCCTGTAATCCCAGCACTTTGGGAGGCCGAGGTGGGTGGATCACGAGGTCA